CCCCCCCCCAAAAAAAAAACGAAAAGAATTTTTGGATTGCTGGAAATATATATATATATATATGAACGAAATTAAAAAAACAAGAATTCTCAAGAATTCTCCAAAATTAGTCCTCGTGATCCTCTTTCAACCTTTTTATCATAACCTCCTCGTTAAATCGATAATATTCGGGGAAAATACTATTACGTAAATAAGAGGCATATTGCGGGTATTTAAAAGAAAGCATTCTTTGTGAATAATTACGATCATAGCTACAGATGCTGGATGGAGAGTTCATCTGTGTTGTTTCTTGCAATAAAGTTTTATCGTCGTCCTCTTCGACCTCGGGAATTAACGATGCTTCGTTAACCATATCCGTGAAATTTGTAGCGAAGTGTGGAGGGGAATCATGATTTACGGACGGATAATAAGTCATTGGTTGATAGGAGGACGTCGAGTCACCCTCTTCGCCACTTCCGTAAGAAATAAGTTGAGGTCTGTACGAGTTGTATGTTTGCTGATCGACCAGAGTCTCGTCGTTTGTCGAATTTATTAAGGCGTATGGTACATTTGAGTGTTGATAATATTGATATGAATCCGGTTGGGCGATAAGATTTAACGCATTTATTTGATGGTGATGGTGATGATGAATGTAAGTTGGGTCACTATAAGAAAAATTGATGGTAAGTTGGTGTTGTGGATGCAAAGTCGAATAAGGTTCGTTGTATGGATTGGTGTGAAAGTTCGAAGACATCGATTGTAAGGACAAATTAGCCGAAATATAAGATTCATTATTCTTTGTTGAGCGGGTAGACAAAGCATGTTCTGAAGATGTCGCCGACCATAACGGCAAAGTTGGCGTGCAAGGTGATGATGGATTACTCGAGAGACAAGGCGAAGATGTAGTTGATCCGTCGTCGGGTCTTTCTTGCACCGAGTCCACATCATTATCTGCGGAAGAGGTATCTTTCAACTGTCTTCTATGTGGTTTGTAAACATAGCCTGGGTTGATTTCACTGTGCTCGGTTTTAGCGATTTGTGAAAGCCTCGTGAAAACCTCCTTGACTTCAGGACTTGATTTCTTCCACACTTCACTTGCAATCCCAGAAACGATGGGAACTTGAAGTTTGAAAGCGTCAACAGCACCTTGAAACATTGTCCTAAATATGAAGAATTTGTTTGGTGGTCTGGCAGGTTTGTCGGAAGATTTGGCTTTTTTGTAGAAAAATCTGTCACGGATTTCCTTTGACGTTGGCACCGGAAAATCTACCTCAACACCATCATTTAGCCTGACCACCACCTTTAAACGTTCACCCCGAGCGTCTAATATTGCGTGAACGACATTACCATTGTTGAGTACTCGTCCACTACCGGAGTTCTTTGGATAACGAGCTTGAAGTTCCCTCGATTGTTTAATCTGAGGCATGGCTGGATTATATTATATATATTTTTTATTGTTTGGGAAAGAAAATGAGATAATGTGAGAGATCAATTGAGACTTGTGTGAATGCAACTGCCGGAGTCGAGATTTTTTTTTTTCAGCAATCAGAGAGTGTGGATACTGTTGCTTATATGTTTTTTTTTTTTTTTTTTTTTTTTAACCTGTTAGGAATTACGTAATCTGAAACCAGTCCAACATAAACGTTGTTGCATCACGAAATATATAAAAAAATCCGTATATGTCGAATATTTGCATAATAGAGCTCGGAAAACGCGATGAATAACTTTGGACCAACTGAAGAACAAAGAAGTCGATGATTATTGTATTGATTGATTGTCTCGTGGCTTCTTGCCATTGATTTGTGACAAAATCTCATTGTTGGTTAAATTTACCACTTCCATTGCAAACAAATTATTTTCTCTTTCAGAAATGACATTGTTCTTTGGAGGCACGAGAAATGTTGACCAGTTAAATTTTCATTGCCTTTGTTTGTAAATCCCAATTTTCACATACATCATTACCTGGACTTACATAATATTGTGCAAAGAGATTAACGTTGTTTTGGAAAACCCAGAGGTTGCCAAGGAAAGAAAGAAAATCTAACATTGAGTCCGTTATTTATTTATTCTACAACTCTTACTCATTCACCGTTTCCAACACCTGCTTGCTCTTATTTCTTTAAGTTAGAGAAAAATTCAATTGTTTTACATCTATCGCAGGCATCGGTATGTTGAATGACACCAAATTGTCGCGAAATATTTGTCCTATATTGATATCCAAGTCGAAATTAAGAAACAATTGTTTGATTCTTATGTAATGCAGAATCCGACGCCCGGTGACATTACATCAAAACTCGTGAGTGAATGAGCGACTCCAGTCGCTTTAATATTTCATTGATTTGTGCACGATTGAATATCTATATGGGAAGTTGTGCACTCCTCATTACACGTGAAATGTGGGAAATCGATTGTGTTCCATATTCTTGTTCCATCCATTCATTAATCCGTTCGTCAATACAAATTTTTTTATCAACAATTTGTCTATCATTTTAAGGGTGGAAAGAGTTCATTTTTAACAAAATAGACCAGTTCCAAAAACAAACAAAATGTGTTGTGTCCTCGACAACTTTATTACTAGCTAATTTCATCTTATCAATGATCTTTAGATAACGTGACGGATAAAGAAGTGATATTTTTGGTATTGAATCAACAATAGATGTCGATAGTTTCCGTTTAGAAAGTGTCAAAAAGAAATAAAAAACACTGTTACATCATGGTGAAACAATCCTATTGTAGAACTGAATTACCGAATTTATACTGTTCACAATAGTAACTAGTGAAGGGTCAATCCTTTGCAAAAGCAGAAAAAAAATGTCATTGTTGATTGATTTTCAATCATCCGTCAATCACGAATGTGTTCAATTGTATTACAAATTTCATAGTTTAAAATTTTGCCATTAACAAAAATGACTCTATAAAAAGAACGTATACGTATAGAGAAAATTTATCACAATGAACGCATGTGAAATAAACCTGTAGATATTTATTACTTACTTGTATGTACTGTACATACATACATACAAGACTCATCCATCAACAATGACTCTGAAAATTCCTCTACTTTTGGTAATTTTATAGTAGAGGATCAGCCGAATAACTTATTGAAAAGATGCGTTTGGGGTCTTGACGTTGTAACCAAAGTTACTGACTATAGGAATTTGGATAAAAATTACGCCTCGAAAATAAATTGCTTGTGCTGTGGTAAATTTAAAGTTAATTATCTCGTAATCTGATAGGTTATGCTTAATTGTCCTGTAAAGTTGAACAATGATACCTCCTTCGCACCTCACGGACTTCATGTGATTCAAGTTCCAGTCGTGAATATGGATAAGGTTAATGAAAACCAACCGATTAATTTTCCGAACCTACAATATCTAAAACATTAAATTTCAATAGGATTATTCTTTAAAGAAACGTATGGCTTGGTTTGAAACTGCAGATCAAGTTCCAAGATTTTCCTATAATGAAACAGATAATTTTCATGGTTTTATGCGTGATATTTTGGAAACCTGCGCCTTAATGCTTCATTTAAAAGCATTAAAATATTCTTGTAAAGTTATACAAAGGTGTATTTATAACACGACCTGCCGAAGATTAAGACGTCGGCGTAAATGTTTTTTTTTTAAACCACAAAATTTGGAAATATTGTAATATTGTTTTATCACTTTGTGAAATTCTTTTTTGAAAAAACCACTATAATACAATTAGTGGGATCATAATTAAGATAATAACAATGATCTTTTCTTTTATTGGCTTATTGATTTTTAAAATTAAATAAAAACTCTATGAGAAGATACGATTTTTACTCAAATTGAATTGGTTATTACAGATTTTATTCAAGATCTCAAATTCTTAATATTTATTAAAAATTTTAAAAAAATATTACGAAAACCAATATCAAAAATATCTTTTTTTAATTATCCAAAAATTTTGTGTAATTGATATGCACATTTTTTACAACATATCCAGCATATATTTTTACTTTCAATACATTATTATTACAAATTTGTTATTTAAATACAATATAATGAAAATTTGAAAATTTTTTTTTTTAAAAAAAAAATTATTTAACCCATTTTCAATTTTCTGCTTGAAAATATTTAAAAACACTTCAAAGGAATTATTAAAAAAACAACTCTATTATATTTATCACAAATTATTATTCATCCTTACTAAACATAATACAGAAATTTTATCATAAATTCAATATATACTGTATATACATATAATATCAATTATTTTAAATTCAAATTCAACTTTCATTTTTATACAATATCAATTTCTATTTTCAAAATATATAAAAAACAAAATAATAATATTCAAAATATAACATTTTAAAAAAACATTATATAATTGTTTTTAATAATAATTTATTTAAATATTTTTTCTATTTATTTATATAATAAAATTTACAAGTCTAAATATTTGAATTATTAAATTATTAATAAACCTATATATAATTTTAAATTTTAATTATATTATATAATATATAAAAGTATTAATAAATTATTTATTAAAAAATAATTTTCTTTTTTAAAAAAATTGAATTAATCTATTTTTTTTTTAGTATTTAAATAAAACCTTTCTCATAAATTTATTAATTAAATAAGAATTTTATTATTATATGATTAATTTTTAAGTTTAGAAATATATTAAAATACATATTAGCCTATTACTTATATAGTAAATATATTTCTAAAAAAATTTATATATAAGAAAAAAAAGAAAAAAACTATTTATTTGAAAAATAAAAAAAAAATCAAAGTTTCAAAGTTATAAAAAAAATAAAAATAAAAATAAAATTGTAAAAAAAAGTAAATAAAAAAGATACAAAGTTTATTTTATTTCAACAACTAATTTAACTATTTTTCAATACATTATTCTAATAATAATAATAATAATAATATAAACATATTAGTAAGTATATTAAATAAAATAAAATATTTCTATAAGATATTTATAAGTTATATATCAGAAACCTATACAAGATATTAATTATACACTCTTCCAATCTAATTATATTTATAATTTATAATTATTTTAGTAGTATATATGGTTATTTTAATATTTTAATTATTATTATTATGATACAAAATATTATTATTATTTTTCCATAACAGATACCCCCAATTGAATCAAGGCATCAACAGAATCCCTAACACAAATATATAACTCAATTTGAAAATCACATTACAATATTATTAATATATCACTTCTTATTGGTATTAAATGAAATTCAAGCAAACCACAAAACATCACCAATTCAATCAAACTAGAGAAAAATTATATCGATCATGTAAAAAGCTTATATTCTAATAGTATTCCAAATAAAATTATCATCAATTTTCCTATAATAGTTATTAACACTTTTATCCAATATAATTATAATTTTTTCAAATATGTTCAAAATTAAATTTTATTTTTATCAAATACCATTTTTTCTAATACTGAGTAGATATTTATAGTTGCTCAATATCATATAGCAAGATATATTATTTTAAACTTTCTTTTCAATATTAGTTATATAATTACTATAGACAAGCTAACATTTAACTCATTGTATTAACATATGAGAGATGTTATTTCTTTCTTGATGTATATCTTGCTATATATACAAATCAAATAAAGAAATGTTATTTACCTACTTTAAATATATATATATATATATTTTTTTTTTAATCCCGCAATCAGGTTGGTGTCGTTTATTTATTTAATCATAAAGAACCA